TATCAAAATTTATTTTTTTTTAAATCAGAATTTACAGTTAACTTTTCCCATAGATCTGCAATGTACTGGCCTTTTGATTAGGGTTGGTATTCATTACTTTTATCCTTCTAAACAATAATTTAATAAAGAATTTTTATTAGAATACCAAGAAAAGCATGTAACCTCATAGTAAAAACAACCTACGGACATTTGCCTTGTCCACCCTTGTCAAACTCTTACTGAAATCACAATGATAAACTGGACAAGAAAATAAAAATGAAGGTGTATTAATTTGTATGACATTATCTAATGATGACTAAGATGATGTATACACCTATAAACATGTAATATTGTCTTATAGTGGTTAAATATGACAGCTAATGGCCTAAAATACATACTATTTTATGGTTTACACTAAAAATGAAACATGGATTATATGTACGTGAATACACTAAACATGAATGGGTGATGACCAGCACTGAGCAGCACGTTTATCGCCGTTCTTCATATTGATGGTTTCATGCTTGTAATCCTTAATGTTTTATAGTTCTGTGTTTTTTCATAGGCTATATACATTAATTCTTTTTTGCCAAGCAATACATATGATGTAATATGCAAGTTATCAAATGAAAATGTTGTTATTTTGAATTTGACAGCATTAAACATTCTAATGACCTAAAGGGTTTAAACTCTACAACAAGGTCAAGGCATGCCTCCCTAAGGTCTTATTCAATAATTAATGTCACTGATGTTTTCTCAAACCGTAATTTGGTGGGTTTTTTTTTCTTGTCAAAAGTCTAACCGAAAAAGAGACATAATAAAGATACTATACTGACATTTTAATTTTCTCTCCTCTCCCACCCCCTCCCGTACTCATACCTCAACACAATACAAGTAACCTGTTAGAGCATAACTCAATACTGTGGATTTATTTATTTTCGTTGGTACCAATTTTCGTGGATGAAGGAAAAATTGTATTTTCGTGGATATCTGATTTTGTCATTTGACAAAGTCTGCATACAAGCATAATAAACATGTTTTACTTCGTTGGACATTTAATTTCGTTGTTCACCTGTACCCACGAAATCCAAGAAAATTGGTATCCGACGAAAAATACAGAATCCACAGTAATACATCAGAAGAAAGTATTACCTCAAAAATATAAAAGGATTTGAAAGTTCAATCCAGCAAATAAATAAAATGCTTCCATTGTTAATTAAGAAATAAGTTAATACATCTACATGAACGTCATTTAGACTATTGTGGATATTCAAGTTGTTTCATAATTTCAATCATCTCCTTATTTTCATATACTCAAGGGCTGGGTTATATGAAAATGATAGTTAATACTTTGTTTGTTTGTGTTTAACTGTAACCCTTCAGTTATTTACAATCTACATATAATCGACAAATTCATGTCCCCCTTTATGGCTATGGTCCAGTTTTCCATAGTAAATTCCAACACCTTGAACGTCAAGAGCAGCCTTTTGGTCTGACTTTAATTGTTACAAGCCTTCGTAACTTAAACCCCAATGTTAACAGTGGAATTAATATCTCAGTAAACAAATACATAATTCCTCTTAATTACCTTAGATTTATTGATGAAATATTTTAAAATGAAGAGATTTTGTCTTGATCAGGGGAGATAATTTGAGATAAGGACTTCTAAATCAACAAAGATCTTATCATCTAATCACATAGAAATGATTATTCAATAAAGCTGATAACAAAGTTTGTATAGTTAATTGAATTTGTACCATATACCCATATAAAGGTCACATTTATAAAGTTATATTGTAAGACAATTTTCTTAATTGTAATCAGACATTTGAACAAATAGTGATCCCATACTAAGTATGGCATTTGATGAAAGACAGGGGATCACATATGCTCCAATTAATGAAAGGTCCAGGACATTGGACCTGCACTAATATGAACTCCTGTAAGTTATAATACTTACTATAACTCCTGTCATACTATCATAACTTACAAACTTACAAATTTTTTCAGGACATTTCGAGAGAAAGGTGGGTCTAGCTGAATCACTGGACTGTAATGGCATTTTTCAGGGGTTCAAATGAGTGTGCATTGCCAGGGTCCTAAGTTTGCACAGGGATCTGCTGTCTCTTCTAGCATGGGACTTTCATTTTTTAATTACATTTTCAATTATTTTAAAACAAGTATTTTTAATATTTCATGCACATGCCAATTCTGAGGAAACATGATGACTAATAGAAAATAATGTTAAAACCTAAATCATATTCATACCTTGAAACACAAGACAGCAATAAAGTAGGGCTTACGGATTACAATCTGTATTTTGATTCCGATTTCTGAAGGTAAAAATCATGGGACCCTGAACAGCGAAATATACCATCTTTCAAATTAAGGTCGTAATTCAAAACCTTATTATATAAAAATGAAAATATTGGTCAATCTAAAAATATAACCTATATATGTGACATTTAATTTTATTCAAATATTCAGAAAATTTCTTGAATAATTAAAAAAATATATTATAAAATAAACTTATAAAATTCCAATGGAACTTAAATTTTAACTACAAATATATCATATTACAGCTATAGTTTTTGGAAATAAGAAATTGAAACTGAAACTTTGATAAAAAGAAACATTTTTTCATACAAAGTTTATCATAATATATTTATTTCCTCATTTTATATCAACTATACATATTAACTTTAAGGAACTTCACATTTTAGTGGGATACATCAAATAGTTTACTATTCATCTATACTTGAAGATGATATGTCAAGCTTAAGTTATGGTCGAGACATCAGTCAAAGGGTTAAACTTAAAGACTGTATATATAAAAATAAGGACATGTGGTATGATTGCCAAAGAGATAACTATCCACCAAAGTTCAAATGAAGTGGATGTAAGCAATAATAGGCAACCCCACACCCTTCAACATTAAGAAAAACCTGTACTATATAGTCGGCTTTAAAAGGTCCTGACATGAAAAAAATCAAACAATTCAATTGAGAATAGTAACAGCCTTTATCTATAGCAAAATAATTTATGAAAAACAAAAAACAAATATGACAGACATGAACCAAAGACAACCACAGAACTACTGGCTCCTGTCTTGGGACAGGCACATAAAGAATGTGAAGGGGTTAAACAAGTGTTTGTGAGTGCTCTGTAACCTGTATGTTGACATATAGCTTATTTCTTTCTCTTCTTGTTTTGTTGTGTTGTTAAGCTGCAGTATACAAATGTTAATGACCTCACATTGTCCTTTTATTCATATTTACCAAAATAAATCATTATCATTTCTCTAGAAAAAAAATTCCTAATGAGTACAAAAAATGTACAATCATAATTTTTATATGATTTTCAATAACTTTTGAGATGACATAAATATTTTGATAAAATATTAGTTTCCCATTGATTAATAATTCGAGTTCACAGCTGTCTACATGTAGTGATTCATCACAGAAAAATACATGTAATCACTGATAAATACAATGATCGAAACATTTCACAACTCCTACAATCAATTTTATTAACTGCCTTTCGTTTCAAGTAGGTTTATCGCCTATCGTAGCAAGACACCAACTAGCTACTCCTAGTGATTTAGTCAGCTGTTATATATGCATATATTTCACCCCAAAAAATATATACTAAACAATTTACTGAATAAACATGTTTCCACATGATTTCACAATTCCAAGAAGATGCATATGTTTTAGTCAACAAATACCAAGTATAAGAAACAGTGCTTAATAAAATCCATATTAATTTTGGATTTGCCAGGTTTTCATTTCTGTCTTAAAAGTTTCTAAGTAAAAGTATGAAAAATAGAGATATGGGGGTATACATCAATGAGTCAGTAACCCAAAAATATTAGAGGTCAGCATACAGTCTTCAGTGATTATGTCAGTCTATAAAAGTCTTCATAAACTATAAAGAAACAACCCTGCCATACACCAAAATCTATAAATAACGGGGAAAAAACATTAAGATAATGCATATTAAGACAATCATGTACAAGATTTCTTACTTGAGACATTAGCAAATAATTGTGTGGCAGGGTTAAACTGGTTTTTGAGGAACTCAAACCTTAATGGAATATATTAAGCTACAATGGTATGTCCAATGCTTTAGAAAATATATATGTCAGACTTGTCAAGTTGAGGTCCTTTTATATATTTTATACTTTATTATATACAATTCTCAAAGACAGACTTGATCAAATATAAGTTAACAAGAATATATATAATTGCCATGAGGAATGAGATTGTTACCTCCCTTACTTTAGTCAATAAAGACCATAGGATGACAAGCACTTTAGTAGGTTATATAAAGTAATAACTGACCACCTTTTATTATCATGTATATAATTATGTTGTTATATTTAGACCATAAAACAGCCAAGAAATCTGTTAACATAAATAAACAATAAGCAATTTGTACTAGCTACTATAAATGTATTTTAGTATGAGCAGATGAGTATGAGATATATCCACGGTATATGTGTTATCTCAGCCTATATATATATAACTTCAGTTCTTACAAAAAATGCAAAGGGCTATTCTGCAATTTTGACCATGTTTATAGACAAAACAAGAACATATGTTTGTAGGTCACCACATTCACTCTCCCTATACATTTCCGTGTTCAGTAACGACAAAATCTTAGTCAAATCCCTAATTTGGCATATATTATAAAATATCATATCATACAAGTTAACTTAACAGTTTCAAGTAGATTGACCACAACTTCAAGGTAAACTATCCTCAACAAAACATTACCCTGGTATAGAAAGAATAACAATCAGAGGTAAAAATTCCAAACCATGTTACAAAACAAAACAATGAGGTCGAACTGAGGTAGGTATAATATTCATGCAAATGATTCTACAGATTTTCCAAAAAATACAAAAATAAAAGCTTGAGAATACACCTGCATATGGATTGAAGCTCACATGCCACTATAGAACAGGAACAGGAAGATAAAAAGTATAAAGAAATCTTCCCTTTCCCTCTAAAACTTACCATCTTTAAGATCCACTGCAGGATAATAAACAAAAATAAATTTATTGCATTGTACAATTTCAGTTTCATTATACATGCAAGGCCAATATAAAAGTAAGACCTCAAAGGCAGTTCACCCTCGGTTTGAACTCAAATTTATGTAGGAGACTAAAAATTCCAACTATAGACCTCTGAAGTAAAAATTCAATATAACTTAGTAAAACTTTGAAAGAAATTAAATTATCATAATTTATAATGTATGAACAATGAAGTTGTCCATAATCCTGTAATAGCACATTATTCTGATTTCCTGTCATTGCGGTCTGTGAAAACAGGCCTTATTGAAAAGTCTGGTGTCCATTTTTATTATAATGCAAAAACGATCAGTCACCTACAGGATATAAACTTCCCAGTAACCTCTATGATATAGACACAGCCATTACCTAATTCAGATATATTGATCCCTATGCTACAAATATTGACATTTGCTATCAATTTAATTACCATAAAATACCAAATAGATTTTATCAGGTAAGAGTAATCAGATCTATTCTCAAGAGAAATACACTATCTATTATACTGTAAATGACGATCTAGTGAGGAACTATGGAGAGGACGATCTAGTGAGGAACTATGGAGAGGACGATCTAGTGAGGAACTATGGAGAGGACGATCTAGTGAGGAACTATGGAGAGGACATCACAGAAAATATAAACATCTACTGCAGCCGTCCTCCTTCTTATGGCATGATCTGTACAAACTGAGGTTTAAATGTTTCCTCAAATCTGATAGTTAAATCGTGGTATTACTTCACAGTCACTTCCCTCTGACTTGGGACTCTTTGTGCAATCTTAATTTAACTGTAACATTTTTCTTATTTTCAATATATATAAAGGCCATAAAAAGTAAGCCATAAATTTCCAAACCTGATGGCCTTTTTTTTCAACATGTCACACACCTGTTCATAGAATCTACAACTGTTGAAAGGAGTGACTAAGTGACAAGTGCTCCACAGAAGTAACATTTCCTTAATTACTTCACATACATGTACATGTACTAGGTTTCTTATGTGGATGTCTAAATTTGTCATTCATCAAAGTCAACACACATTCTAGATTCCTTAATTAAATGCTATAATACATGTAAATATTCTAAACATTCTAATCCTAAACATGCATGGAATATCTGCCACTGGACACTAAGGAAAATCCAATCAATTTTAAAATCATCTTTATATTGCCTTTTTTACACTGAACAAAAAGTTTCTTGTAAGCCTCAGATGCTTAAAAAATATTATTTTATTTCCTTATTATAATGCCTCTAAGTTGACATACAAATCACAAAGTAAAACAGACAGAGAACAGCTGAGATAGTTATGATGCCTTTTAAGTTCAATTTTCATTTTTAGGCATAATATACCATCCACCCCCAGTTCACAGATAATACACAGACAAGAATTTAATCTTTCTTTTGTGGTTTTTATTCATTGTATTATTTGACTTTTTTTTTTATTTTGACACATTTTTTTCATTGTATTATATGACATATTTTTAACATGATATTTTAATATTTGTAAAAAATGATTTCCTGTTTTAGTATTTCAATGCAAGGCAGACCAAAGATTTTTTATGACAGGGAAAAGATTTAAATCAGTGTTGATATTCTTATTTTCAATGGTTAAATTTGAACTTTTGGGATCAATGACATCTTAAGCCGATCCACAAGCTTGAATAACTGTTGTCGAAAAAACCCTTTATGCAATCATTAAATTTTTTTTTCTTCCCCATTATCTTTATTTTTTTCTTTATTTTCTTACTTCATTTCTGTCATTATTAAGTTATTTCAATCTTTTCCACTCATCTATTGTATTAACATTTTCTCCTGAAGAAGTACAACTTACATGTAGTACAAAATGTACTATGCTTACCAATACTTTTGTAGCCATTTGAAAAGTTAAAAAGGGAGAGGAGGTTTCAGCAAACATTCCACACAAATTTTATATGATTTTAGCATTCAGATTAAAGCTAGCCAAAGATGGATAAAAGCATAATGGTTCCAAATGTAGTAATCCTCTTCACTGCAGTTGCAATAATTAGGAACCCCCTCCCATGCTGCATTGTTTTCTTTCTCAGTGTTGTTCATACATCGATGTATATCAGGTGCCAACAAGATAAACATCTCATTTCCTTTTCAGTTTTATCTCAACTTTTTTAATATAATGTCATTAATGGTTTTATATATCACTGTAAAAATACTCAACTCTTATCAGTTTTTTTTTTTAGGTTTTCCTAGGTCAGATTCGTATGAATAATTAGTTATATATAGAAAATATGAATTATTTAGATATTTTTAAATAATAATCACAGAAATTTTCATCCACTTACCCCCATCAAATCCAAGGAACCAAGAGGCAAAATTCTGCCCCTCTTTTCGTCCACGGATCATAATACCGAAACTTGTAATCTATCTAAATCCTGATTTCATCCTTCATTAATTAAACATATGCTTCATCATAGCACAATTATAAAAATGACAATAAATTCAGCCTCATATGAAAACCAGGTGTGACACTTTTATGATGACAAATTTTTAATCCAAGGGATAAATCCATAATTTTGTCTACCAGTACAAAGGTGAGAAATTAAAATTCTACACCTGTCCTTTGTTTTAAGTATAGAATTTTATAATAATTCCACATGTGTCTATTTCTCATTATCACTACAGTGAGCACATCAATGGTTGTCTATTCCTTAAACATCATATAAAAGGTTAAAGTTCAAAGTTAGCCTCAGGTGTGTCATGCTTTAATGACTATTTACCTGAGAGGGGCTCAATACAGGATGTAAAACAGATAAAATGGAGATAAAATCAATGTTATCAATGTAATCAAAGTGTAAATTGTCAACATTTTTTAATAAATTGCTTTTTTACATTCATCTTCAAAAACATTTTATATTTATCTTTTTGCTACTTAAGACAACTTCAAAAAGAAACAAAAAACTTTGAAGAAAACTCACATTTCCTAATATCCAAATATAACAATAGTTCTGGATTTTTGTTTAAATAGTTTCAGTTTTTCATCAATGTAGTTTCGTAATTTTTAAAAATGGACTAGAAAGAATTGAACATATTCATCTGAAATCTGCTATTTAAACAATGTATTTTAAATACGATCAGTCAACAGACAAAAAGGTGATGTTTTTCTTCTGACAATTATAATGAACTTGACACAGATTTATATAAAATAATGATAATCCTAAAAAATTTCTAAAAATGCAGATAATGTATTAAAGAATTCAAAGCATTTTGTAGGAAATTAAAATGAATATGTTTAAGTTGGAAATGTAAAGTGTTTATTTTATGCAGTGATTGTAACATCAATTATCATAAAGTAATTCGTTTCACTTTACAGAATATTTTACATCAATTTTACCTTTCATATATATTATTTTTAATATATTGATATAACATATTTTTAATCTTCTGAAATATTTCAATGGATTTTTACAGTCCTTTTTAACTATACCTACAAATAATGTGTTTTTATATAATTCAAAGCTTTGAACTTTCCCTTTTTGTTTGTAATTATGTATTTCCCCACTAAAACTTTACCAAATGCTTATTTCACATAGAAACAAATCCTTTATCCTTATAGTTAAAAAGTTTGGAAACTGAAATTGCCTAATCAGAACTGCCAAAATCATATAAGGTTATAGTTCAGTCAAGGAAGGACTGACAACACTAATATAATGGTGAAAGTGAACAGACTCAAAGAAAAAGTATTGCTTCGTAAAATGTAACGCATAACACTAAAGATAATTCAAAAGCAGAAACAAGCAGAAAAACTTTAGGAAATGAAAGATTATATATCTGAATGAGCCATAAAGTTGCATTTTACAAGACAACGCAGGGTTTACTCCGATCAATCTCCCGTATAATGTCATCTATTTTGAGGTTTGATGTTTCTTTTTTTACGTACTTGTTTTTTTTTTTTTTTTTTAAATATATAATGTTAGTGTTGTATGCCTCTTTTTGACATGATATGTTTAGGGGCAAACCCAGAATTTTTGAAAGGAGGGGAGTAATCTTAGAAAAATTGATATATACTGTCGAGCTGAGCAAGGCAAGAATTTTTTGGTTGATTTTATGCTCAAGAATGATATTTTCAAATCAAAAGGGGGAGGGCATACAGGCTTTACATCCCCCCTGAATCTACCACTGATGTTAATCAGGCCTTAGTGTCTTTATAATCTTATATACACTTGCCTTGACAGTTCTAAGTATATCCTTATCTGTATCTGACCCTACAGAGAACCTCTGGGACATTACCCTAGACTGTAAACAATAACATTGAACCCATAGGAAATAAATGTTTTATTTCTATGACAATATTACAACAGGAAGAAAAATCAATAATAAAAAGATGTTAACAAAGCCAGTAACATCTGTTGTAATATTATGTGAAGTGTACTTGAAAAAGGCCAGGTGTAAGGGTAACTGTACAGTGGGGGAGGTATCAATACATGTGGTGTTTTTATTATGTTAGGAGTACCTGTGAAGGCCAGGCATAAGGGTCCATACAGTGGGACTGTTGGGTAGGCATCAATACATGTGGTGTTTTTATTATGTTAGGAGTATCTGTGAAGGCCAGGCATAAGGGTCCATACAGTGGCATCATTGGAGAGGCATCAATACATATGTTGTTTTTATTGTGTTAGTACCTGTGAAGGCCTGGCATAAGGGTCCATACAGTGAGACCATTGGGGTCAGGCATCAATGCATATGGTGTTTTTATTGTGTTTGTAGTACCTGTGAAGGCCAGGCATAAGGGTCCATGCAGTGGGACTATTGGGGAGGCATCAATACATATGGTGTTTTTTATTGTGTTAGTACTTGCGAAGATCAAATGTATGGGTCCAAAGATGTAGGGGGTTTAACAAGGAATGATTGTGTAGGCATCAATATAAATTGTGTTTTATTGTGTTACAAGTACCAGTGAAGGCCAAATGTATGGGTCTACAGAAATTATTGCATAC